TTTAAGTATTAGGTATTATTAGATTATCAAGTATTAGGTAATATTACATTATCAAGTATTAGGTATTATTAGATTATCAAGTATTAGGTAATATTACATTATCAAGTATTAGGTATTATTAGATTATCAAGTATTAGGTAATATAAACATTAATTTTGAGACACTTTGAGCATTCATTGTGACTTGAGCCAAGTGATAACAGATATAATCTAAAAACCTAGACATTTGGTTCTTCTGTGTTATTTTCTCCCTACTGCTTGCAAGATTCACAATCGAATCTTATGCTTTTGATATTTTTTCAGATAAACAGTTACGTGTATCCTATCATTTTAAACTAAAATATTTCGAATTAGTTTTTTATTCTTCTAAAGAATAATTTATTACATTTTTTATAGATCATTAAAAGATGAAAACAGAGGGAAAGGCTATACATTTCTCAGTAGTCAATTCATGCTCAAAAAGTTGACAGTGTATCTTAATCTGGATAACAGAAAAATGGGTTTGATTTTATTCTCGAAATACGATCTGAATGTTGATACACATGGTGTTACGTTTCCCTGTCTTTCATCTTGCTTAATGTTGTGCAGACTACAGAGATAAGCTTAAGTTTAAGAGTGAATATGTTAGTTATCTCACATAAACAATCCAACGTTCACACCCACCATACGTATACATACCATAGCTCAACACTAACATAACGTATAACGTGAAAAATCTCGTGTCTGTAACGCGAGAATCTAAACGTAACATAAAATACATTTGAAAAACGCGTCAATCAATACTTTCAGAAGACGTCACTGATATCTCAACTAAACTAGAACGTGAGAAACAATTATATGTTAAGTGTTTGTTTGTTTTTTAATTTCGCGCAAAGCTACACGAGGGCTATCTGCGCAAGCCGTCCCTAATTTAGCAGTGTAAGACTAGAGGGAAGGCAGCTAGTCATCACCACCCACCGCCAACTCTTGGGCTGCTCTTTTACCAACGAATAGTGGGATTGACCGTCATATTAGAACGTCCCCACGGCTGAAAGGGCAAGCATGTTTGGTGTGACGGGGATCCGAACCCATATGTTAAGTGATCGAATATGATTTTCATGTTAAATCATCTTGACTAAAGAGTTAAGACTAAGTTACAGACAAATTTAACATCTCAAAATAGACAAAAGTACATGCAAGATACTACATTAACGATAACAAATCTATTTATCAGTCATACGGTTTACTAGCATCCAGTGATTTGGAAGGTGTTATCTTGTTCTGAAATAACCGATAAAATTCACTAAATATAATAAACACCATTATGTTTACTTCCTTAAGTGCACATAGATGTCCATTTAGAAATGTATTCACATATTAATTTCACGAGAAATTTCCGACTTGAAACTCGGTCGGCTTACTGAGTTTATTTCAACGACTGTTTTATTGCTATTTAGACAAAAACATATTTATATATAGATATATATTTACCTTCTATATTTAGCTTCAAAACAACTTGATCACGAAACGCGGCAAGTGTAGTTTGTCGAATAGTGATCCCTTCTCTCGTCTAAAAGAAAATCAAATATTTCAAAAACTGAAACTTAAAATTTTTTTTTATCAAGAGTGTAATTTGACTTTTACTCCTAAATCCTACTTCTTTTTTATTTATTTGTTATTATTTTTGCTATAAAACTGAAGTACAATATATTCAGTGATAAAAGTATAGCGTATAACTTTTTTAGGACTCGGGTATCAACATTTATTAATTTTATTAATTCATGTTTATTATTACAAATTTATTATTACAGGTGAATAGAAATAAGTCAAATATCTATCAGGTCATACAAACGAAATTATCATAGATTTTTTCTATATTTGTTTTCAGTAGAAAAGATATGTGCTATTTATATATAGGTTGACGTTTTAGACACCTACCTTGACAAGAAACAATATTGCGTCTAAAAGCGGTAATATATCCACAAAGATATTCCCCCACACTTCCTCTAGAGAGCGTGTTAGTCGTTTTCCTGTCCAGAAAAACGTACACAAAATTTGTTCCATTCTGTCTTTAGCCTAACTGTGAAATAAAACTGTGAATTCGTCATCCACAAACTAAGTAGCTTTGGTAATTAGCCATATAGAACTAGAGGACAGTGAAAAAAATGGATTGGCGCTAGCTGGTTAGTTTCTTTGACTATTGAAAATAAGCTATTTTGAAAGGTGAAACATTAAACCAGTTAGTTAATAATATTATATTTAAATATGAATATATATGTATATATAAGCTGTTGGTTTTTTTTCATTCGATAGTGATTTCAGTTAAAAATATAATTTGTTTTATTTATTTCTCAACACTGGTTAACAAATATAAAAATCTTTAATGCATTACAGAAATACTGGAAAACATTATGTTTAAAAAAGTCGAATGTAATCATTAGGATACTAAAAGTGAAAAAAAATGTTTAGTGAGTACAATTAAACATCAAAAACGTATCCTCACAACAGTTAATACTAAACGCGGACTGTTTTCTACCATGCAATATTCAATGTAAGTGTTTTTTTGCTTCAGAATTTTCTGCAAAACTACACAAGTTTTCATCCCTATAATTTTTGAAATAATAGACTAGAGGGAAGGTTTGTTTGTAATTAAGCACAAAGGTACACAATGGGCTATCTGTGCCCTGCCCACCACGGGTATCGAAACCCAGATTCTAACGTTGTAAGTCCGCAGACATACCGCTGTGCCACTGTCAGTTCTTTGGCCTATTCTTGTTTGACCAAATAGTGAGATCTGACCGTTATTCTTATAGCCCATGCACGGTTTTAAAGTGCAGAACGCGGTTTCACGGCAAAAAATAAAATAAAAAATGCGAACCCTGAACCATCGGATTCATAGTGTGGGCACGCTAGCCACTAGGCCATTCCCGCCCTAGTACAAATAAGCTATGTACTTTGTTTTTTAAGGTTGGGTGAGATTGGATTATGGCATTAGGCGATGTTTCGATACAGGGACTTATTTTTTTGGGGCTTTTTTGCGTTTTTATTTGGTGTGGAGACGCTATTTTGGCTTTTCATTTGGATCCTCCGAAAACGTCGTCTCAGAAAAAATAAATGATTGAAGAAGGAATTCATGAAGTTTTCCGTAAACTATATACATCCTTCGCTGAATATATATATATGATATTGAACTGAAAGAAATACTTTTTTGTATACTTTAGTTAATGTACCTGAAACTAAATTTTCGCACAAGTGGAGTTTTACATTAATAAAGTTTGATTATAGCAGTTAATTAGCAGGACGTATAGAGGTTAACAGAAGGAGGTATAGAGGTTTAAAATCTTGTATATAGTTTTGCTGTGCATATTTATTATTAAGCACAAAGTTACACAATGGGTTATCTGTACTCTACCCACCGTTGGTTTCGAAACCCGATTTTAGTGTTATAAGTTATACACAGGTTAGTAGTAGCTGGTGTAGAATTTGATAGTAAAAAGTATATAAGGTAATTGTAGAAAGTTGAGAGTTTATCATTAGGGGGAATGAAGGCTTAAGAGCAGAAGCTATCAAGGTTAATAGAAAACAGTTTACAGTACAAGATAGGAAAGTTCACATAAGATGTTATAAATTGAGGATCAACTTACTGAAAAGATTAAAAAATCTAAAGTACTAATTAAAATGTAGAAAGAATAACACTTGTAAGCAAGAAGTATGCAAATTAGGGTCTGAGGATAAATATTGAAGAAAATATAAAGTTTCGGAGCAGGTGGCAAATCATTTTAGTAAATATTGCAATAAAATGTAAAAGTTTATGTGCTAAACCTGTGACGGAACAATACTAATACAAAAATGGGAAATAATCAAAACAAACATTTGGTAAAAAAAATGTTAGTATTTTTTTCAAATAAATATTTCTGTTTATTTGTTTCAGCATTTCCTGCAAAGCTATACAAGGGCTATATTTGCGTATAGTCTCTCTAATTTTGAATTGAAAGACTAGAACGAAGTTAAGCCAGTTAAGAGCACCCACTGCCAGCACTTGAGATGCTCTTATTTGATCGAACAGTGGGACTTGACGGTTGCTCTTAAAGCACACTCACTTAAAATGCGGAGAGAGTTTTTGTAACAACAGGTTGCGAACCATGGATCATCTAACTTAGAGCTAACCATTAGGTTCTACTCGGTCCTTCATCTGTAATTAGTAAAGTGTGTTTTACTTAAACAATGGCTGCAAATAATTTAAAAAAAATGCTTTAAAAATTGTCACAAAATGCAGAACCTTATAGGTTTACATCAATTTACACAAAATTTGATTACAATAAACAATCATATTACTCTCGCATAAATGAATATGTAATGATATTTTAGAAGAAGAAATCATCAAGTATCAACATTTACCTGGCCCGACATGGCCAAGTTGTTAGGGTGATTGACTCGCAATCTGAGGGTCGCAGGTTCGAATCTCCATCCCACCAACTTTCAATTTTAGCCGTGGGGACGTTATAATGTGACGGTCAATCCCACTATTCGTTGGTAAAAATAGTATCTCAAGAGTTGGTGGTGAGTATTGATGACTAGCTGTCTTCCATCTTTCACTGCTAAATTAGGGACGGATAGCGCAGATAACTCTCGTGTAGCTTTTCGCGAAATTCAAACCAACATTTACCTTTTGATTGACGTATACGATCTCGAAGAATGCTCATTCCTTTGCTAAGTATTTTTTGCTGTGGAGAAAATATACATGTACATTAGGTCTTGGGAAATATTATTTCAATGTTGAAATTAATTTTAAGTCACGAAGCTATAAAACCTAATATAAATTCACACATATGAAAGTGACAGATATGTATATATCTGATGCTTAAAGGAATAATAGTTACTAATAACTAATTTTACAAAAGAGTTAAATTTGCTAACATAAACGTGGTCTCATGGAAATATGTATAAAATCAGATTACAATAATGCTGAAAAGTGTACATATTTTTCTCTAACAATACGTGTGACACATCTAAATAGAACCAAACACAAGCTAGATCTAAAACCATTTTGTCAGCTGACACGTGGAATATATTGTCAACTATACTAAGTCTTTAAAATAAATTTTTTTATGAACTCCTGTAAATTTTCCAAAATAAAACTTTAATCTCACCAGTAGATCCCCTTCTTAGCAAAGCAAGTAGTGTAAAAGAGTGAACAAATAATTTAGTGACATACTCTGTTTACAAGAATGCTTTAATTTGCTACGTGGATCATAATACAAAACTATAAAGAAACATTTAGCTTGGGGGCTTATAATGCACTGAAATCAGCCTTTGAATGTCATTTTCTGTCCACAGTCAATAACGATCACGACTAATTTTCAATCCAGTATTCTTTATAACTAGTATGTACGCACATTATTCTGTGATGTACACTGTTTACTTAGATCTGACAGTTGGTGTTCATAGCTACTATATACAGACATTATTCTGTAATTTCTACTGTGTATCTAGATTTGACAGTTGCTATTCATAACTAATATACACAAACATTGTTCTGTAATGTATAATGCTAACTTAGATCTGACAATTGGTGTTCATGGCTAGTGTATACAGACATTATTCTGTAATGTATAGTGTTTACTTATATCTGACAGATAGAACATTCGGGCAAGAACCACCTTAAAAAACAGACATTATCTTTATTCTTACACTTATTTTTGAAACAACACTCAAAACTTTCATTTTCAATAGTTAATAAGTGAAATAAGTGATTTCACGATTGTAGACAAAATCGAAATTTGCCCATTTGTTCATATTATTAATATTAATGTTTCACAAGCCTACAACAAAATTGGCTAGGTATTTTGCCTCAAAACCTAGATAAATATAATATATGAAGCACTGCGAATGTTCGTGATCTATTTAAATGCTGGTTATTTTTCATTGAAAGTTGATTTACGTGGTTATAAAAACGTAATATTTGCGGTGTGGTTCTGAGCAGCTACTTTTGTTTCGCAGAATTTAAAACAATAACATATGGAAGACTGGATTAAGTAGGATATAAAACGAACAATAAATAAGGCATATGTACGAGAGAAGAGATTAAGAAATGTTCAAGTCCTGCTGTTTCCCTTCATTGTAATGAATGATCACTGTCTTGCAAGCATAGTTAGGTTATCAGCGTGTTGAAACATACAGAGAAAATAAATAATGGAAAATGCTCATGAACAATTTCTCGGATATTTTAAACCCTCATTTCTCTTTCAGAGTTTATACATTCTTTTCTTTAGTTTCTGATTGAAAATTCGCTATTACAAGAGACGTTTGAAGTGATCACCTTGTTAGAATATGAAATAAAAATATATAAAATAAAATATGAAATAGTTTTATTTTTTTGTTTGAATTTGTACATAGGCCAGTCCCAGAACAGCGTCTTGCTATTAGACAACAAGTTAAGTACACAATATTGAATAAGTAGTCTTCAGCATCTAACCAGTGGCCACCCATTCTGTGCTTCATACATTTAGTGTAAAGGCACGGCTTAACTAGAGGAAATTTGATAAATAAGCATTGTGACAATAGTTATGTCTCCAACCAGTGTTGATTAGTCTTGAAGGCTGTTTCCATACAAAGGAAATGTTAGGTGTAACGACATCTCTCCGAAAGGAAATTAAATGCTTCAAAAAAAAAAGATAGAGAGAGAGAAAATACGTATTTTTATTTGAATATCATTAATGACCTTTGTATACTGAACATAATTCATAAATATCAAATTAACTTGAATATGGTAATTTATTTGGTATTTTAAACCTGCATGGTACCTTATGCAACACATGGGCTAAACGACCAGGTCAGACCTCAAGTTTCAGGCATAGCTAAGTCTGATTTAGAACTGCTGACCGGAGGAAGGGTAACCAATCACTAGTTCCCACCTCCTATTAACAGAGCAGTGAAACTGACTGTTGCATTTATAACGCGCCCATATGCTGAGCGTGCTCACCTGCAAATCGCAGGTTCAAGCCTTGGACCATTCATTCTGAAACCTGATACGCTAACCACTGCACTACAACAGACGAAATAATAAACTAGAAGAAGAGAGGGAAAAGGACAAATATGTACATAAAGTAAATTTGATTTTCTAAGATTCGAGTTTTATCAGATCTTTGTAAAAGGATATTTTCTTTCATTCTCGTTTTAACCTCTATTTTTTCTCTTGTAAAATATAACATAAAATGTGCATTTGTTTTAAAACAGACGAACGATATATTTAAAAAATCAGGCATTCAGGCGTCAATGTGTATTTGCTAAAACAACTTTGCAATGCATACTATTGACTAGAGTAGTTTTAATCCTGAAAATAAGCACATTATTCTTGTCTGAAAAATTAAACTGAATTATTAAAATGATAAAAATAATCGATGTTTTTTTAAAGTTAGACAATATGGTAGTTGTGACGAGATGTTAAAACAAGAAGTGCATTAATGTTTAAAATGACTGAAAGATATACACGCAGGCACGTGAAAAATATGGGGAAACTTTATGGTTATGCTATTGTACCGAGGGCTTTAACTGAAAACATCAGTATAATGCATGGATGTATATTGTTATCATTGTTGTTGCTTAGTACAACACTAAATAAGCTTGAAACTTATCTATGATGTTCATATGTAGTGTTGTTGCTTTTTAACTCCGAAATGAAAATAACCATTTTTCTTAGGAAGAGATGTCAAAGATTGGCCTTTATACACTTAGCTACAGGCACTATTGAAAAGTGCTTGAAGGCTTTGACATCTCTTAGGAAGAGATGTCAAAGATTGGCCTTTAAACACTTAGCTACAGGCACTATTGAAAAGTTTCAATAGGTACTTTAAACACTTTAGCTACAGGCACTATTGAAAAGTTTTGATAGGTACTTTAAACACTTAGCTACAGGCACTATTGAAAAGTTTCGATAGGTACTTTAAACACTTAGCTACAGGCACTATTGAAAAGTTTCGATAGGTACTTTAAACACTTAGCTACAGGCACTATTGAAAAGTTTCAATAGGTACTTTAAATAATGCTTTCTAATAATACTTGATTTGTTTTGTAATTAAGCACAAAGCTACACAATGGGCTATCTGTGCTCTGCCCACCACGCGTATAGAAACCCGATTTCTAGCGTTGTAAGTCCGTATACATACATCTGTGCCACTGAGTGACTTTTTTCTCTGCCCATCACGTGTATCCGAACCTGGTTTGTAGCGTTTTTACTGGGAGGCCTAACAATTGTGAACTATAGATATACAGTACACTTGTTTGGATAAATATGTTACTTCGTAGTAATGTAATTGTTAAATTGTCTTCTAGTTGAATCAATAACTAATTATCTGATTGAGTTAAAGGCTTACTGTGTAGTACAATATACATCAGAGGTGGTCAACCTGCGACACGCGAGGTAAAAATTTTCTTGCCTATCATTTAGAAAATTACGGGTTGTTGCACGTAACATACATTTTGCTTAGAATTACCGTACGCACTTAAAATGATATTAAAATATGTGTCCTTAGTAATTATTTCATTTAATTCGTAATACTTTAATTTGATTACTTGAGCCTCCTTCCCCTATCCATTACTATGAATTTTTGTCTTCTGGCCAATAGCACCTTTCTCAAAATTCAAGATCTAAAATCCCCACAACTGCTAAAAAGATTGGCCACCTTTGATATATATCAACATGCTACTCCATGTATATACCGATAATGTCTCTAAAAACGCTTATTCGTCTTTACAAAATTCATACTAAGATATCCTGCTACGTTTAATTCGCTTTATACATCTATTATATATTACAGTATGATGTTAGGTTATTCAACTTTGTTAAGTTAGTACTAAAGAGTGATGTTGTGTTTATTCAGCTTTGCGCTGTGGCTTTGGCTTAATGTTGCGTTTATTAAGCAATACCATATATATTTGGGATTGTAGGTTTTTAGTTTTAGAATATTACATTTACTTCTGCTATCAGCAGGCAGTAAATACTTATTTGTGTAATAGTGTTTTAACTACTGTGTATCTGTTAAATTTGTGTTGCATTATTTTTAATGATTGATTGTAACAGCTCATATATATATAATTAATACTTAAACAGTTAAGAAAGAATTAAAACTAAAAGGAAGGGCTGCATTAAAAACCTGTAATAAACAACATTTTGATGAACAAAACGAACAAATAGAAAACGAAATTGAAGACGCTGCATAAATCAATAGTATCCCCAGGGTACAGGCTATAACGTGGGATATAAAATGTGCCCTGAGTTTTGGAGTTGACTGCGAAAGTAGGACCCACATTGCGGCAGGGATACACCGTCTACCAGTCTTAATCTCTTACAAAATTAGTTACTATTTTTCTTTTCTGTAGTCTTGCTCCGTGGAGAAATCAAATGCCTCGCAAATGAAAACTGAACTTCATTACGAACTGAAAAAGGTGAAAAATTGGTCTTCTTTAAATCCTTTCTTGGATAGGATTAAAAATTTGGCAGTTAGAAGGTAAAACATGAGTTAGTGATTAGCAGGTAAAACATGAACTGCTGTTAGCAGGTAAAAGATGAGTTGGCAGTTAGCAGGTAAAACATGAGTTAGTGATTAGTAGGTAAAACGTGAACTGGCTGTTAGCAGGTAAAAGATGAGTTAGCAGTTAGCAAGGTAAAACTTGAGTTAGTGATTAGCAATTAACACATGAGCTGGCGTTGAGTTAATTATTTGGTAATAGCAAAAATAGAAAACAAACTAACAATCTTCTGAACAAAGAAAATAGAGCCACCGATCACCATACTTGAGCATTTCTCTAATACAGGAAAACAATAGTTTTATTTTATATCCTGTCAGAGCTATAATGGTTTATATATATCAAATGAGATTTATCATATTTGTGTGGAATCTTCATGATAATTTTTAAAAGATCATAGCAATAATTCTTAGCAAGTTTATGAAATACTACATAGTAAGCATCGCTTATCAAACTAGCCAGAGGCGGATCGGCATTAAAAGACTAACCCAGGCAATATTACATGCCGCATACTGGATAATTATCCGGTGTATTGGTGGATCAATCCGCCCCTGAAAATAGATCTCATGAAGAGCTGCTCATTCAGAACAAAATAAAAACTTTCAAATTTTAGCATTCTCTACACATTTATTTTCAAAATGCTAAAGTATTTATGTGTAAATGTTCTTACGTAAAATGTATAATCGAATAAATACAAACAAGTATACATATATATATATAATCATTGATCGTTAGCGCCATAAAAACGGGTGATAGGTAGAACTAATATACTTCCTTCACTGTATTACAGTCTTATTCAAGTTTTCATCGTATTATACATTTCATTGACTAATGTTACATGCTGATTTTCAATAAAATAGGTCAAGAGGCGAGATACTGCATTATCTACGACTCGGTAAAATAACAGCTATTTCACAGAAGGTAAAAGTATAATGTACATCAACTTTACTTAAGATATCCATTTAAATATACAAAAATAAAAGTTCGTTTGTAGTTAAGAAGTATTTAATTAAAATCTCATCATCAAGGATAAAGAGTCCATACCTTGTAATACTCGTAGATAAATGGTCCTGCGTATGAGTTCTGAAGTTTTCTAGAACAAAGAACAATATAATTAAATACATTAAGAACCTACTTTCACATTCCATAGACATTCTGGAGAAAAAACCTTGTTGAAAACGGGTTTATTAGATGTCTGATTATAGCCACTGGCTTGGAAACTTCAGCAGTGTATAACAAAGTTTCAACACACCTATAGGTGAAGTATTCTTATTAATGTGATTAAAAAGTAACTGCTTTATAAGGGAAATACCTTTGAAGGATTTTTACATTTATACCCGTTTTCTTGGTTTTCGTCCTTTTGTAACAACATTGAAGCAGAAGTCGTAATAATAAGTTAGTATGAAACTAAACCCATAGGAACGAATACTAGCAAACCTATTTCATTTATAAAGCAGTCATTTTTTAAACATATTAAAAATAATACTTCATCTATAGGGTGGAGGACGTTTTGAAACTTTACAATACTTGCTGAGGTTTTCAAGCCACTGGTTATAATCAAACATCTGCTAAATCCTTTCTTAGAAAGATTCTTCTCCGGAATACCTGTGGAAAGTGAAATATATTTCCCTTATAAAGCAGTTACTTTTTAATCACATTAATAAGAATACTTCACCTATAGGGCGGAGGACGTTTTGAAACTTTACAATACTTGCTGAGGTTTTCACGCCACTGGTTATAATCAAACATCTGCTAAATCCTTTCTTAGCAAGATTCTTCTCCGGAATACCTGTGGAAAGTGAAATCTAAAAAGTGTAAATTTACTTCTGAACCACAAGTTATTCTGAGATATCGTAATGTTATAGATACTTTGCATCCTTTTCACGAGATTAAACTTAGTTTGTTAATGACGGCGACAAAAAGAGTTTAAAACTGTAAATGTTGTTCAAGTTTTAACCCTACAGCATATGTATACATGGCTCTTTTACCAGATCCGGTGGATTCTTACGAATTGTTTACATTTAATGGGAGTCTTGCAAAACCAAGACCAAAAGATGCAAAACACATACTTTGGTAATAACTAATAGTAATTTTGTAAAACTGATGTAGAACATTATAGTTTATAATATCACATGTGTGTAGAAGTTTATCCTGCAGTAAAACATCTGTAGAAGTTTATCCTGCAGTAAAACATCTGTAGAAGTTTATCCTGCAGTAAACATCTGTAGAGTTTATCCTGCAGTAAAACATCTGTAGAAGTTTATCCTGCAGTAAAACATCTGTAGAAGTTTATCCTGCAGTAAAAACCTTCACAGACCATTATTACCACTGAACACTTAACATTTCACATAATGTTTACTAATAAATATAAAATAAAAATACGTTAAATTATTTACATATACGAGGAGAAAAAAACACCCCAGAAAAAAAACTTATAGTTCAAAAAAGCTGCTGTCTTGTTAGCCAGTTATTAAAATACTTATGAAAATGTCCAGATGTTTTACTGCTTGTACATTTATGTATCTACAAAATACGAATATTTGCAGCTTGGTTCAAAAACTTTCTGATCGTATAAAGATTTCACCATCTCATAATTCTTAGAAACAAATTAACTGACAAAGTATTCTGGGAAAAGCGGAAAAATGAAGAAGAAATCAGCAGGTAGTTAGATAAAAAAAACATAAAAACTGAGCAACTAACCGAATAGTTTCGTGTAATTTGGCAAGCTCCCCGGCCTCCAAGACTGGTTTCTGCCTTTGAAACAATCCCACGGTGGCCTTTTGGAGACTGAAACCAAATGATTAAAGTAATATTTTAAAACAATAATCGTCACCACGAAAAAACACGTATATAGTTTTATCAATAAATTAATGGTTTTCTCGGCAAGTTTACAAATATTCATGGATGTATATTTTTCATAGTGTCTAAACGCACATCTACATCTTTCCTTTCGCTAACACTATTTTATAAGTCTTGAAAAGACAGAACTTACTCAAAATATATTCAGAAATTTTCTTACTGTTACATTGTTATTGTACACGTCTATATAAATACCTAACAATATTATGTCGTTTCTTATCTAATAGTTACCTAATGAAAACTTTCAACAAAGTTAGTTATATTATTTTAACTTATAAGTTATATAGGTAGTGTGAAACAGATGATGTATTTTATATTGGAAAACAGAACAGGTAGAGATATATAGCTTTTGTGTAATACATATGGCATTAAAATACTTAGTTATATCTCTTTATGTAATTTCTAGTGCTGTGATACACTATAATAAAAGTTGTATTGTGACGTCCCATTTTACGACAAGGTTTAGGTACATTGTTGTGTTGTAACTTAACATATTTATGACGAGTTTCGGTTTGAGCCGTTCAGGAGTAGCACATGGTGGAAGCGAATCTGGGGTGGTTTTTCAAATGTTGTGTTACGTCTCCGTTCGTTAGTTAATTTTCCGTAACTTCGTTCCGACGAAACTTTAGCGACACAAGTCCTTTCTTAATAAAACTGGTTTATTCTTTCCGAATACAACTTTACGATACACTTAACTTCAACATTCGCGCTAAAACAAACGCTATAACAACGAACGTTAACTTCAACAATACTCTCTGACTGCAGATCAAATACTCACTACCTACACTGTTGTCGTCACGTTGTGACCATCTTATATATACCAGACTACCCCCAATCTAGTAAATGCTAGGGCATTCACGAAGGAACAGAATATTTCTAGAAACGTGGCGTGACACTAGTCACGTGACCTCGCTGACACAACAGTTGTTTGTATACATCATTTTACTTTCAAGTTATAGTATGAACTGTTTTAATTTACTAATATTATTACGTGTATCTAGAGTGTCAAAACTTCGAAACGAAGATTATGCTTTATCCAATACATATGTGTTCTGTTTTGTTAGGTCACAATGATTGTGCTGTTTATACCTTGAGTCTGAGCTTATGTTTTGTTTCGTTAGCTCGCAGTAGTTGTGTTACTTTTAACTCCAACTGATGTTCTGTTTTGTTGGTCCACAATAATTGTGTTGTTTTTTTAAATCAAACATGTGTTTTAGACATTCAAACACCAGACTTACTCAGAACACAGGTCATGTTTTTAACACAAGTTTTTTTAAAAAACAAATCTACACTTTAGCATACATTGGGAATTTATTTTCTATAATATATAATTTTGCATATATTAATATTAACTTGTCGTCAAAGCATGCAACCTCCACAGGTCAGAACTAAATATACCTAATATAAAAAATATACCTTTAGTAATTAGTATAGCTAATTAAATATTATGTTCAAACTGTTATTGATCTCTTATGGCAAGTATACCTAATTGATTATTACTTATAATGATTAGAATGCATTGTTTCATCAGATGGGTACCCTCATTGTTCACTTCAATAATTACTTAATTACACACAAAAAAGTTGTGTTGTAAGTTAACTCAAACAGTGTGTTATAAGCAGACGTGACTGCTCTATCGACATAAATACACAATTGTTTTTATGTTTTCTGAAAACACGACTGACGTGCGGTTTTCAATTCAAATTGTGTTTATTTAGATATACTGTTGTGTTGTGAAGATACATTTTTATAACGAGTTTTAGATACATTAAAACCACATTAGTAAATTACAAATATTCGGTGAAAAAAAAGAGGTTTTTAAGTTACGCTGCTATGGTTATGTAAAGGTTGTAGCTCTGAATTAAAAACACAGAAATTGACATATTAAACTAATCATCACTATTATTCAGTATGCTTATATATCATTACTATTTATGCCCCCCAGTGGCATAGCGGCATGTCTGCGGACTTATACTTTTAGAAACCGGGTTTCGATACCCGTGGTGGGCAGAGCACAGATAGCCCTTTGTGTAGCTTTGTGCTTAATAATAATAATAATAAGGTTGCCATTTTAGCTATAAGAGCATTATAATGTGCCGCTCAATCCCACTATTCGTTGGTAAAGAGCCCAAGAACTGGATAGCTGCTTTTCCTCTAGTCTATCTCTTTAAAATTATGGACGGCTAAGACGAATATCTTTTCAACAAAACCTCTCATTTATGAAGTTGTTGCTTAATTCACTCCAGAAACAACAAGACCAATTTGCTGCCTCGCCAGTTTTTCTGAATAATAGCAAAATAAATTCAAACAGAATAATAATAATTAATAATATGTGTTAGAAATAAATAATATTGTGATATTAATCTCTACCCTAATTATGATTTGTAAGAGATTCAAATAAGACTGATCACAGTTACAATACATTTACTTGTTCTTGTTTACACCGTAACTAATAATTATTTCTCATGAATTTAAGATAAAAATAACGTATGGATCACGACAATGTCTATCGTATCTTAGCTGGCCTGATGAGCACTGTTATTGGCGGAAAGGCCTCAATGGCACTGGAGTAAGTAAACGTAGTATGCTTGATATATCATTATATATTCTTCTTTGCTTTCACTCATACGTTCTTAGGATATAACTACGAGTCACACTTAAAAAAAACAACTATCAGCCCTTTCAGAAAAAAGGGGGTGGCATGGTGCATTTGGATATTTAGTTTGTAGAAGAGATGAGAAAAGATGGTTAAACTATTATTTTTCCTATATCTTAGCATAACAGAGGGCTATATTTTCCACAAAACACATATTTCACGTTAATGCACACACATAATTATACCATTATCACAACACATTATATTAACACATAACTGCATATTTAAACACTAACTTTATTCTACTTTAAAAAAATTATATGTTTGAACCAGTTTTATCTTCCGAATTACATAGAATGACATGTGCAGTTAGGGTTTTCGCCCTTACTTGTATGTCTATTGTCATTATAATTAACATATTAAAATATGCATCTCATATGTTTATGTGTGTGTGTGTATTTATTTGTTGAGGTTATTATTTTTTCACATAGGTGTCGCTATAATTTTTCAAAGTAACAAAATTTTCATCTTGAATTATTCAGATATTTATGCTAAAAGGTTAAGTATTATCTGCAGAAAGGATAAATATTTAGTATCAGACAACTTTAAGTTATTTTCAATTTTGATTTTCGTCATCACTTTTCGCTGTGCTCCTTTCGTAACGTCCACAATTAATTAAAGATCATGAACTGAAACAACAAATATAATTACGAAAAACTCATTATCCTTTGAGTTAAAATTAATATAAAATATTTCTTTATCCTTTAAAGTTCCGTTTAATCACATATATGTCTTATTTTAAACTTAACTTTTTATCTCCAATTATGTCTGTCTTAAAATTAATATTCATTCCTAAGAGTTGTTTCATCTGAGTAAACTAAAAATTAATTACCAGCTAAAAAAGTTAAAGAGAGAACTTACTTAACCCTATAAAACCAAACATTTTAAAAAAGAAGAAACAAAAGTTGTGTGTTGACTAAAAGTGCACTTGTTTCTTCAACTTGCTCTACCTTTAAGGATTTTACAGCATAATAAAATATCAAAACAGATATTGCGTTATGAAAAAAAGTTACCTGCGCTCAAAGATTTAAAAAAAAAGTTTTCAATAGATTCTAAGGTCGGCAACTGATGAAATTTGTTTAAATTAATAACAAGTCTTCCTCATATGATATCTACAGAGTTATAAAACGTGACTAGTTGTGTATTCCATGACATTTTTAGATAAATATAAGAAAATTCCTGAAAAGAGGTTTCAATAACAATGTCAATACTATTTAAAGTGCCACGTATGTTGTGTTGAAAAGCTACATGTACACAACCTTACAAAAGTTGATTTTGGAGCCTCACCACGTCGTTACTGTTCATATGGTCACGTATATAATGGCCGTGTTTCTTGACAATAGCTCTTCAGTGTAGAATGTTATATCCAAAGTGCACCACTCCTCCCTGCGTGCTTTACATAAGCTAGCTAGCATATGAGGGCGATACTTCCCGGAGTTTTAACTGTATAATCGCACTAAATACAATAATTTCTACATCTGACGACTTGACTGTTATGTATTTGTATAGAATAACCTGAATAGTCGTTTCATCCTCTAACTGCTTGAACTATGCGACGGTTGAATGTATATGTCGTGGAAGCAGCTTGTGTGTACGTGACTTGTGTTGCTCTTCTAGACGGAAACCCTTCTTGATTGTGTTGTATACTGTTGCCTGTGGCTCTTGGACAGCTTTTTCCATTGACTTTTGTGTTCTTAAATTCTCACCTGTTACACGACTCTGCAATGTGCTTATAACGGATGTGGTACAGCTTGTTGCAGATCTTTTTCTGGGTGGTCTAAGTGTTCTAATTTGATTTATATTCCTACGTTTCCCAATACAATCTAGTCAAGGAATATCCCCATTTCGGAAATTATAAATCCACGAGTTGAACACATCTTTGTGATTTCCATTTCTGATTATTTTATGTCTAAAAGGGCTGTCACCTACCCTTCCCAAAACCAATCAATTTTCGGTGGCTTCACACTGCCTGTGCTAAGCCAAAAAAAAAAAAAAAAGCTAAATATAGTTCTGATACAGTCCGCTCCAACGCGACTTTATATCGGTTGTGGTTGCCGCGTGACTTGTTGATTTGCATATTCAAAATCGCTTTAACATGACGTACTGGATAGTTTGTAAGTGTTACTCATATTGGAATACCGATAACTTGTTCTATTCCAGTTAACTATACAGCGATTTCAAAATCATTGTATATACAGGTATGATAGCTTTGCGACAACCTGTATCTTACTCATTATCAGCGTTTGTGATTATGAAGGTATTTTGTAAACAGTAAACAACCGTTTCATTTGAAAAGCAACGCTATTTTAGCTTGTTCAAGATAATATTGAAATTTTTTCAAGCTAGTTATTAATCAATTTCTAATGCATTTTGCACGTTACTTGCACACTCGTGACACCTAACTGAACATTTAAATATAGCTGTACTTGGTAAACCGAAAAATCTCTGAAACTGATTCTAAGATATTTCTTTCGTAACAGTTCCATAATATATAAAGTCTCCCTTATTTTAATACGACTGCTAATGTTCTAACTAAAGGGATCATTGGGAAATTTTTACAAACAGCCTTAAGGCAGTATAATAAAGCAACATTGAACTCCTACTGTGTTCGGTTTATTGGCTTCACAGGCCTACTAACAAGAAACAAATGCAGTATAATTATGTTAAAGCGCGAACCTGTTTGAGACTGAAATCTGCGAAAACATAGAATTGTGGAATGAAACGAAGAGAACAGGCCCAAACCAATTTGTACTAAATCGTATATGAGATCATGTTTGATATTTCTTTAAAAAGAAAAAGCATTTACCCAAACATGACTAATACGGTGAGGAGGGGTTTTATCACAAATGAATTTTAGTCGATGTAGTAAGAGTTGAATTATTTGATAAGATTATTATTATAGGAGTGTGCAAATAGAGAAGTATCGTATACGTAAACTCAGCTTTTCAAAAATAGAATTTTCAAAGTCAAATATGAATCTTATTTGCATGTGTTCATTATTTTTATTTTACTTTTTTACGAGGCTTCAAAAGGAATTTGCCCCCAATGGCACAGCGGTATGTCTGCGGACTTACAATGCTAGAATCCGGGTTTCAATTCTCGTGGTGGTCAGAGCACAGTTAGCCCATTGTGTAGCTTTGTGCTTAATTACAAACAAATTAAAAGGAACTTATAAATCATTTTTTCTTTATAAATGTAAAAAAATAAAAATAAAAACGGAAAGCTGAACAAGTTTGTTTGTAATTAAGCACAAAGCTACACAATGGGTTATCTGTGCTCTGCCCAACACGGGTATCGAAACCCGGATTCTGGCGTTGTAAGTCCGCAGACATACCGCTGTGCCACTGGGGGCAAGCTGAACACACAACAGGAAATTTTTTTTCGCATTTTCCTTCACTCTTGCTGTGCTATAAGGTACTCCTATATTTGGTTTATTTTTGTGATATGTTTGCAAAAAGAGAAGAAAAAGAAACGTATAAGATATAAAAGTATGAAGAATTATATTCAGTCCTTATTTTCACCTTAATAATTTAGAGTATTTCATAGTACCATAAACTTTACGACTTTTACTTACACGTCCCAGTCATTCTTTCTTCCTGAAATGGCCCGCTGCCACGGTGGCTGCTCCTTCCCGCAGTAAATATCTATGGACGATAACTCTCCATTCTCCGGAACGACTGGTAAGCTTGCTCCGTTTTGGCGAATCGACCGGGGAGTTGCTATAATTCCTAATGCTTGGACGGAGTGTAAACTGATGGCGTTCGTAGTTTTGTAGAAACCCCATGGACTTCGACGGTTGGACACATGCATGATTTTTTGGTCTTATGTACTGTTCTAATAATGAGCGTTATAACAACGCTGTGTTAGCGACATTTCTACACTTACACAGGAAAATTTTGCAATCGTTTTTATACTCCACTGCAGGTGCACACAGCGTGCAGAACGGGACTCACCTTAGCAACAGAACAGATAGTATATAAATATTAACATATCAACCACTTGATAACGTGTTATCAAGAAGTGCAACAAACAGCTAATGTGAAATGCCTCTCTAAAAGGCGATGTTAGAATATATATATATATATATAGTGTAAATAAAACGAAAACCTGCGTAATATAAACATGTTAACGAACCTTCCGTGGCAACAGATGAATAGCTTCTATGGTTGTCACTAATGAGCGCGATTTAGGAAAGATAGTATCAAAAAAAATCCTCA